TGCAGTAACTCATGGGAGGTAAAGACAGATCACCTGAGTCCCAGGAGAGTGTCTTCCCCTTTACACTAGCCTAACAATTCCTCACTTCTGGGACTTGCACTTGCCTGGAAGTTTACTTCTAGATGCAGTGAAGAGGGTATGGCTGGATATGCCTAATCAGCAAATAACTTGGGGAAACAGACACTGGATACAACCCTCAGAGACAGAATCCCAGGAGATCTTATCTGGTATTCATGGGAACATGGTATGGTGGCAGGCCTGGGCTGCCTTCAGCTTGCAGGCTGCCAGGGAAGGTCTGAGTGGCTCCTGCCAGTTCTGAGGATCACCTGTAACTTTTCACTCCCTGCACCTGTTTCTTGTCCAGTTGCTTATTGTTATATGACTCATACAGTGTCTTCTTTTTAATGCTTAATATTTCAGGGACTTAGCTGACTCATATAAGAGGAAAGCAATGGTCATGAGGTGTGTATTGAGTAGTTTACTAGAGAGGGAATTTATTGAGTTTCAAGAAAGCAGGGCCTAACAGAGCTAAAAGGCAGAATTCTGAGGACCTTAAGTTCAGAGCCTTACCAAGGTATAATGTTCCACATTTACTGTCAAACCCAATCTTTGGCTAAGCCATTCACTCTTTTGGAATAACTAATTTTCATTTGGAATCTACTCAACATTTGAAAATGAACCATACACCAATTTGTAGAAAAAAAATAGGATCAACCATGGAGGTTCCAATAATAATAAATCTTTATATTTCTATGATGGTTTATAGTTTACAAAGCACACTGTCTTTTTTGATCCTTACATCAACCATATGAGGTTGATAATTTTATTAGCCACATTTTATAGGTGAGGAATTAAAGCTCACAAAGGTCTGGAGATTTTCTCAAAGCATCACAGCAGAACTAAGACGTGATCCCAGGTCTATAGGTTCATTCCAAAGCCCAGCCTTAAAAACAAACTAACCAAAACCAAAACAACAAAACAAAACCAACAATCCTATACCACAGGATTCATAGGAGCACTTTCGTGCAGAATTCATGGTGAATTTGATCTTGACTTCCTTCTTCTTACCAAAGAAGCCAGAAATCCTGGAAGCTCTTGTAAGGACATAGCTTCTCCCATAACATTGACCCTACAGGATGGTTCTATTTAGCTATATTCCAAATTGGAGGGGTACTGATCACGTACAGTACTGGGTGGAACTTCTCTTTGCACCCATAAAGTTAAAAAGAAAGAAAGAAAAATCTGGTTTTTACTAAATATTGGTCCATCATAGTAAGTGTGCCCTTTTCTTACACAATA